TGAAATATTTCTCAATACATTTGTAAAGAAATGCAACGGAAATCTGCAAATGTGCCATTTACTGAGCACCCATTATGTACTTCAGCAGAATTTCTCCAGTACTAACAGCTCATTTGTTTGTTTACTTAGACTCATCTTTGTTGAGCGTCTAATAGGTGCCAGGTGCCGTGCCAAGACATTGGTTCTGGTGGTGACCAGACCTGGTTCTGGTTCAAGGTCACTGCCCTGTTGGAGAGCAAAGATCTAGGAAGTTTTGGATGGCTGGGGTTGGAGGGGTGACCTGCAGACGGGAAAGCCAGCAATGACAAGAGAGTGTACCTGGGGCTGCCTATAGTACACAGGGCTGACAGGGCCTTCCCCGGACCTGGTACATGCTGGGACCTGAAGGCTGAGCAGCAGTTGCCCAATAAAGTGACTGGGGAGGAATGAAAGTAATTCATTCATTCATTCCTTAATTCTTTTTTTTTTTTTTTTTTGAGACAGAGTCTCACTATGTTGCCCTTGGTAGAGTGCTATGGTGTCGCAGCTCACAGCAACCTTCAAACTCTTGGGCTTAAGTGATTCTTTTGCCTCAGTCTTCCAACTAGCTAGGACTATAGGTGCCTGCCACAATGCCCGGCTATTTTTTTTGTTGTTGTTGTTATTATTTAGCAGGCCCTGGCTGGGTTTGAACCCACCAGCCCAGGTGTATGTGGCCAGCACCCTAACCACTGAACTATGGGCACCGAGTCATCTCTTTCATTCATTCATTCAGGCAGCTGTTCATTGAGTCTGCCATGTATGCACGTTGGCAGGGCAGGCAGGGGGTATAGAAAAGGCCTCCTAGCTGAAGTCATGCCCATTTTCTTGATGAGGAAATGGAGCCTCACAGAGGTGAACTGACTTGCTGAGTTGCACATGGGAGCAGAGATAAGAAACCTAAGCTGATTTCTTGTCTCAAAAGTCTACCTCTTTCCATTTTCCTTTTTGCCTCTAAGAAGAGGCCAGACAGGTTAGACATACTGCTGTGATTTTTGAAGGCCATAGGGTAAAAACCCGTCCTTTGGAGTTGAAACACATTCTTCTCAGTCTAGTATCACAGGAATGGAAGAGCAAGTATCCAAAGTATTCAATACTATTATGAAGCTAGTAGATGATCTATTTCACACCCATCTAGGAGCAGAACTCTTTTCAATTCAAGTTAGGTAAGGAGGAATGAGGAAAGGGGAACAGGGGAGGGGAAGTTTGTGGTGCTCCCACTGAATGGACACAATGCAGGGGTGCATGGCACATCTTTTGGGTGCTGGACACAACTACAAGAGTAATTCTACCTAACAAATTCAGATATTGCGATTTGGTTTGTACCCTCACAATACAATAAAGAAAACCCATCCTTGTTCAGTGGGTGGATGGGGCTGAGGATGTTCCTCTGACCCTCCCCCCCCACACCTGATGAGGGTCCATATTTTGCTCCATTTGGATCTTGAATGGGGGAGCCAGCCTGAGGGGTGTCCAGGGCTGAGGGAAGGGGACCACTGAATTCACTGGCTTGGGGTAGGACCTGCCATTGGACAGGAAGCCAGACCAGAATTCTAGGCCAGGCTTTGCCACCAATTATCTGGGTGCCCTGGGCTGGTTCCTGCCTCTCTTTAGGCCTTAGTTCTCTCATCCCTGAAAAGGAAGCTTTGGGCTTGCTGCATTCTGGCTAGCTGATGTTGGTAGCCTGGACTTCTGGCCTCAGAAGTCTCTGGATTGGCACGGCTAGAAGTAGGGTGACCCACTTGTTCTGGTTTGTTTGGGACTCTTCAGGTTTTAGCATTGAAAGTCCTAGTATCAAGGGAAACCTCCCCTCAGTCCTGGGCAAACTGGGACAGTTGGCCATCTTAGCTGGAAGGCCCCTCTCGTCTTACCTGCAAAGAATATTTGCATTGGCACAAAAGACATTTGACTTTTCCTCCTATGTGGCCATTGTACTATTTTCTAGACATTTGTATGAATCACATTTCTAGCTCTCTGCTGTAGCCCCCTTCCCCCTCCTGCTAATTCCTTTAGATCCTCTGGTATCTGCTCAGCAATTTCCTCTGGGTCAGGCTTCCCTCCTCTGCACCCCTCCTACATCTTGAGTTGGTTTTTTTGAATGTCTCCATCAGCTCCTCTAGACCCCCAGGAACCCCCTCCTGTATTTAGTGCAGAATCCGTAATGAAGCCAGTGCTCAATAAGTGAATCTCTTTGGTGCTCAGGACAGGGTTACCCCCATTCTCCGGGAAGGTTTCATACCCCATCTCCAGGGCAACTTTGCTGGCAGGACACATCCTCTCTGGGACAGGCTGCCGGGACCCATTCCCCAGGTGTGGCTTCTTAACCCGTTCTATTCCATGGGTCCCCTCAGGCATCTGGTGGAGCCTGGGGATGCTTCTCAGAACAATTTATTAAAAATGCATTAGGATTATAATGAAAACAATTTTACTAGAATACAGATGTCAAAGTATCGACAAAACAAATTCTTTTGTTCAACAAAACAAATTCATGATTTAATAACATATGCGTCTCTCTTAATATATTAAATACAATTTAGTAGTGGGTCCAATATACCCTTAATTTCAGAGTTCTGGCTGAAATATGGAATATCTTGAGATATTTATGGTAACTTTAGTGTGACATGAATATACGTGTGATTTCTACTAGTGACAAAATCATGTAAGTTTCTATTTGTTGCCCTCATTCATAATCAAAGATAATGCTAAGAACCATACAGAGAATAGTAACAATAAGGATATAACTTTTATGCGTCCCCATGTCATGGAAGCCTCAGAATGCTATCTTTAGTCCCTTCAGGGGTTTGAGAACCCTTACATCAAGGCAAAGGTGTTTTGATTCTTTAGGTTGGATAAACAAGGACATCATTAAGAGATAAGAAAACAGGCTTGCCCATAGCTCGATGAGTAAGGCACCGGCCACATACACCAAGACTGGTGGGTTTAAGCCTGGCTGGAGCCTGCTTAACAACAGTGAAAACTGCAACAAAAAAATAGCCGGGCGTTGTGGCAGGCACCTGTAGTCCCAGCTACTTGGGAGGCTGAGGCAAGAGAATCGCTTAAGCCCAAGAATTTGAGGTTGCTCTCAAGGCACTCTACTCAGGGCCACATAATAAGACTCTATCTTCCAAAAAAAAAAAAAAAAAAAAAAAAGAGAGAGAGAGATAAGAAAAGAGAGTAAAGAGCAGCGAGCAGATTGGGTTGGGCTAAGCTGAGAAGGGTTTCAAGACAGGTTAGTTTTGGATCTGGGTATTATAAAAGGTGAGTTCATTTTGGCAGTGAGCAAGGAGCTGGGACTGAAGGCAGGAAATATGGGGAGGGTTTGCTTTTGTGGCAGAATCAGAAAGACAGCAGGCTGATCTCACAGCAATAGCATCACCCTAGAACAAGCCGCGTCTCCTTTGTGTCTCTTTTGTCAGCCAGAATACCAAAGCATTGACCCTGTCATAAGGGCTACCTGCCCTCAAGCTTACAAAGAGACAAATGAAACACAGAAGTTAATGGCCCTACAAAAATTAAATTACAATTCAAAAAATGCAGCCAGAAGAATCTAGAACATGCCACGGATCTGGTTAAGTGCACACGGTGCAAGCCACAGGCGTTCAAAGGTGGGGGTCACCTCCCCGGCCAGATCTGTGGTTTGTGAGGACCAAATGTAGAAATGGAGAAGAGGCCATTTCTGCCTCTTGTCCATTTCCGCATTTGTGGAAGGCCTGCTGGAGCTCGCGCTTTGGAATAGTCGGCTCAGGTCTCTGTAACCTCTGTAAAATGGGGATAGTGCTAATAACTAAGTACGAAGCTTGACAGATGCTAATCCTTGCAAACTGCTTCAGGAGACACCAGGAGACTTGAGCCTTGGCCTTTAGGGTGGTAGGTGTGAACATCTATTAGAATGAATGAAAATAAATGAATGTGTCCTTGGAACCATTTCAGCCACCACCTGTCTCCTCTGGCGTTCAGTGAAATGGACACTGCCCCCAACTCTGGGGTCAGTTGTATCTCAGCGTGAGAGTGTATGGTGGTGGGGAAGTGGTCAGTTAGTGCTGGGGAACCGCAGCAGCTCAGAGGAGGCAAGGTCCAGGCCGAGCTTGCGGATGTCATTCCAGGAGTGTCTATGACTGGCCTCCCCCTTCCCTCATGCTGCCTAGAGTCTCAGTAGATCTGGGGACCAGCGGACTTGGCAGTGTTGGGGCAGATCTGGTGAGACAAGGCCAATAGCTAGAGAAGGGGGTAAGCGTCCAAACAGTCCACCCCTGGGTCCGCTGCGTGGGGGACGTGGTGGCGTTAACGCTGCCTTATCCCGGGAAGGTCGATCACGGCCACGCCAGGCTGCAGTGGGGGTGGGGTGCCTTTGCACCTTCGGATGCTGTGATTCCCCCTGCCCTTCTAGGCCGCGGTCTCCCGCATCAGTAGGAATTTGGGGCCGGGGGACCTAGGGGCGAAGAGGACAAGAGATGCAGAGTCCCCTCAGCGGACGACAGGGGACTGGAGCACCCTAAAAGCGTAAGCGAGCGCTGCCGAGACTGCCGGCTCCTTTAAGGGGCTGGGCCGGCGCTGCGGCGGCTTCAGCTAACCGGGTCTCTGGTGCAGCTCTGCTGTCCGGGTCCCCAGAAGGAAAATCTAAGCCTGGCGGGGCGGCGAGACCAGAAGCGAGAGGGCGTGGTCCATCAGGGGAGGTGGGCGGAGCCAGAGCTGTAGCAGCCAGTCTACGGAAAGAACCGAATGGGGTACCCGGGAATGGGTGGAGCCACGGGCTTGTGGGAGTAGCCTCGTGCTGCGGGTCTTTGGGGGCGGAGCCTCGAGTTAGTGGAACGCCGCAGAGGGAGGAGGGATGGGCGGGGCTAGTGGGGAGGCGGGGTTGGTGTCTGCAGTGGGCGGGGCCCGCCGCAGAGGGGGCAGTGCCGGCCGAGAGTCCTTTGCGTGCGGCTGCCGCGGCCCCTCCACATCGTCTCTGACAGCGCCGGCAGCAGGACTTGCCACCCTCGCTAGCCTTGCGCAGGTACCGCGGCCTCCGCCGTGTCCAGAGGATCGGCCGAGCTCCATTTCTCGCCTCAGCACCCACATCCGGGGGCAATCCGATCCGCCGTCTCTGCGGAGGCCGCATCTGGCGCGCATCTGGAACCGCCCCGGCCGGCCGCGCTGGAACCCGCGCCCACCCTGGCCCGGCCGCGCCGGGAGCCCTTCCCGGAGCTGGAGCCGCACCTGGAGCCGCGGGCCCGGGGCCCTGAGCCGCGCAGCCGGCGCATGGTGAACTCGCTGCTGTTCGGGGAGATGGCCTTGGCCTTCGGGTGCCCGCCGGGAGGCGGCGGCGGAGGCTGCCCCGGCGGTGGCGGTGGCGGCGGCGGGGCCGGGCCAGGGCCGTCGCCGGTGACGGCGGCGCTGCGGGATGACCTGGGCTCTAACATCCACCTCCTGAAGGGGCTCAACGTGCGCTTCCGCTGCTTCCTGGCCAAGGTGCACGAGCTGGAGCGCCGCAACCGGCTGCTGGAGAAGCAGCTGGAGCAGCAGCAGAGCGAGCGTGAGCGGAGGCTGCGCTACAAGACCTTCTCCCGCGAGCAGGCCGTGCAGACCGGGCCTGAGCTGCTGAGGCCGTCCGCGCCCGGCATCGGGCACGGCAGCTGCAGCGGTGCGGCGGCCGGCGCCAACGCTAACGCGGTGGCCCTGGGCGGCCTGCCCCCAGGCGGCGGCTCGCACCCGCAGCACTACGGCCGCCTGCCTGGGACCATCTGGAGCTACACGCAGGTGCGGCGCACTGGCGGCGGCGGCGTGGAGACCGTGCAGGGCCCCGGCGTGTCGTGGGTGCACCCCGACGGCGTGGGCGTGCAGATCGACACCATCACGCCGGAGATCCGCGCGCTCTACAACGTGCTGGCCAAGGTGAAACGCGAGCGCGACGAGTACAAGCGGAGGTGAGTGGGGCTCGCCCCTCCCCCTGCCGCTCCCAGACTGTAGGGAATCCAGGGCTCGACAGCCGTGGAATGTGTGTGCAGGAGGGTCCCGGGCCACCAACTCCTAGCGGGTGGGCTGGAAGCTGTGTTTGCAGAGCACCGCCGTACACACACTAGGAAGACTCAGTTATCTAGATCCAAGAATGGGCGCGGGCGCTGAAGCAGTGGGGACACCTCCGCCATCACTGGTCAGGCACATTGCTTTTTAGGTGATGTAATAACCAACTGTGTTTTATATGATCTCATTTAATCTTCATGACAATGCAGGGTAAGACAGTCTTATCCCATTTTGCAGATGAGGAAACTGAGGTGTGGAAATACAAATTGACTCGCCTAAGGTGGCTTGGCAAAAAAGCGGTGAAACTTGGATTTGAACTAGTGGTTTTAACAACTCCTGGCTAGTCTGTCTCCCAGTCTAGATATTTTCCCAAGGATGTAGAAGATAGGCTTCCTTCCCTCAATAGGTGAAAAGAAAAAAAAAACTCTTAACCAACCCACTGCCTTTTTTATTCCTGGAATTAAGTGAGATGGTGTGATTGAAAATGGATGGATCTGCCCCTACCCCTGGGGCCAGGGTCTTCCATCTTGCTCCAGCTCTGTGAGGTCCAGCTCACTGTGATGGATAACCAGAACTACATAAGACTGACCGCAAGCTTTTAAAAATGCCTCCCTTCATCCCTCCTCTTCTAGTCTCATGGCTTATTGAGCCCTAACAAACTCATCCCTAAAGGCCCCCAGGAGAAGATAACCTTGGGCAGGAAGACTGGACGTTTAGTGGATTGAGACCACCATCTCTGGCCTTTGCTGGGGGGGCATACTACCTGCAAAACTGGCCAGTACATTCCTGCCCAACCCAGATTCCCCAGCTGGGAAACTGTCATTGCTTCCTGCCTACAGCCTGGCAGACAGTAAGTACTGTCTGCTCAGCTTTCCGATAAGAGGAGGGGGTCTGTTGGTAACATCTCAGGCTGGGATGGGGGAGGGGTCCTCTCAGCCTCTCTGCTGGTGTCCCAGGCACAGTCAGTCCACTCTGCATGTGGAGCTGTGGCTCTGAACTCTGGGGCCTGGAGGATGTGCTGAGAAGAACCTTTCCTTCTGTCTCTATAAAGGTCTGCCCAGAGAGATGGGCATGGGTCTCTTTCCTCATACTCCCTCTGGGCAGACAGCGACTGGGTAGGATTTAACTGCCAGCCCCATCACCTACTGGTGAGATTGTCAAACCACCGAGAAGCCTGTTTGCTCATCAGAGAAATGGGAATAATAAAATCTGCCCACAGTTGCTCGAGGGGAGAGTAGGATGGTGATGCTTTTTGGAAGGTCTAAATAATCATGATGATGTTATTAAGGATGATAGTGCCCTTTTTCAAACTCGCAGGGAGTAAAAATGCCTGGAGCCTCTGATCTCCTTCAAGCAGGGCCTGGCTTTCTGGCAATAGGTCTTATACTTCACTGGGGAGATAAGCTTCTCTCCTGGAGTACTTTCTCTGATGAGGACTTGAGAATGGCCCAGTGCCTTGCTATAGGGAGGCCATCTCTCCCACCTCTCTGTCCCTCGTGGTCAGTCTCGGTTGGGGCAGGCTAGGAAAACAGGCACTTGCTTTCAGAGATGAAACTGGGGAGGGATGGGCTGGGCCCTCCCGTCTGCCACTGTTGATGGTGTCGTCATGCCTCAGGCTTGTGTTTTGTTTGTTTTATTGTGTGTTTGCTTTTTGGACCTGGCTACTAAGTAGATGGAAAAACCGTGCCCAGTTATAGAGGAAGACAGGTTGTCATTGAGCAAGGATCTATTCAAGTTGCACCCAGGGTGTGGGGTGTGATGTCAGCTTCTGGCGCTGGCCTGGAATGAGATGGCACTGCTGAGACAGGTGGCCCGCGCGAGTATCTCTCTTCTTGCCCTCCTGGGGTCTTGCACACCTTCTCTTTCTCCATTATTTTGTGAACTGGAAAGACCCCCTCCTTTCTGAAGTTGATTCAAGACACACATTGAATTTTTCTAAAACAAGTACCCTTTCTTTCCCGGGCTCAGTTTCTCTATTTGAAAGCAAAGTGGGTGGGCTAGAATTGTGCTCCATGAAGCTCCAGGCTTCCTAGAGATGATTTAAGAGTTCCTTGAATATTTAATACAACTTATTATTTAAAACTACATTCAGATGTTAACACAGTGATGAAAGGGTGCTCGCTCCCTTTTAAGTTCTTCATATTAACTCACTGGAGTCCACTAACATGGTCACTTGTTAGTAGTGTATTTGGGTTTCTTGTAAGAATTTTCCTCTGGGAGGAGAGTGGATATTTGATCAACATTTTTAAAAGTTTAAAAATCACTGGGATAGATGATCTCAAAGGGTCTTTCCAGCCTTGCCAATTTATAAATCTGAGTTTGCGTGGCCCAGCTTACCTCTGATTTCCTGTCCATAAGAGAAGTTGTGGTCTCAGGGATGAGACCGAGGTGTTTGCTTGGAGTGTAGGCCACCAGAGGATTTAAATCCTCCCAGGTTGTCTATCATGGAACCCCAAGCAGTAGAGCTTGTCCAGGAAAAGAAAGCTTCTGGAGCTTTCTCTGCTTCACTTGGATGAACTCACAGCTTTAGAGACCCCCCACTTGCTTCTCCAAAGGGCAACCTGTAATATGTAGCTCAGTGTTCTTCAAGCTTGGAGGCTTTGTAGGTTTCACCTCCAGGAATGGTGGCCATATCCATGTACACTGTAGATTAGTAGTTACACAAAATATTTAAACTTTAGGCTTGGCGCCCATAGCACAGTGGTTACGGTGCCGGCCACATGCACCGAGGCAGGCGGGTTCAATCCCGGCCCAGGCCAGCTAAACAACAAGGACAACTGCAACCAAAAAATAGCTGGGTGTGGTGGTGGGCACCTGTAGTCCCAGCTACTTGGACAGCTGAGGCAAGAGAATTGCTTAAGCTCAAGAGCTGGAGGTTGCTATGAGCTGTGACAAATTCCCCTTCCCACTTCAGCCCAGGTAAGCAATGATCTGCTCTCTGGTCTCTATAAATTTGCCCTTTTTGGACATTTCATCTGAACAGAAACATACAATGTATAGGCTTTTTGCCTGCCTTCTTTGACTTAGATCAGCGGTTCTCAACCTGTGGATTGCGACCCATAGGAACTGTATTAAAGGGCTGTGGCATTAGGAAGGTTGAGAACCACTGACTTTGATAATATTTTTGAGGTTTGTCCACGTTGTGGCATGCATCCATAGGATATTCCTTTTTATTGCTGAATAATATTCCACTGTATGGATAGAATGCATTTTGTTTATTCATTCACCTGTGCACTCAATATATTTTAAATTTAAAGAGTCATCTGTGCACCACCTCACATCATCCCAGGTGCCATCACAAAGCATGCTTTGGAAACACTAACCCAAACCAGATGGGGCCTGGGGTGCCTAGGTCCTTGCCCCGATTACCACTCGTTTGGTTTCTGTTTGGCCCAACTAGGTCTTTACCACATGGGTAGTGAGGTCGCCAAAACTTTATCAAGGATGAGGTTGTCAAGGGTTGCTTTGGAAACCAAAACAAACATCTCTACTCTGTCCTCACCCTCTGCCATCAAAATATCCTGTTCTGACTTTGTAAGCTGGGGGCTTTTCCCTGGGAGATTCTTGCTGAATTTATCAGGACTAAACAGGTTGACATCCACGAGACTTGGACTCCAGGTCCGGCTTGGCCACTAGGCGCTGTGTGTCCTCTGGCCACCTGCTGCCCTCTCTGGACCTCAGGTCCTCTACCTTTACATGAGGGATTCCCTTTAGGTGATCCTTCTCAGCTTGCTCTATACTTCAGGTCTGTGACTGCAAGGGGCCTGGGTCTGACTGACGTTTCTGCCTCCTAAAATGGGCAGTGTGTTTCATTGTGGCCTTTCTTTGTTCTGGGTTTCCGCCTCCCTGTCCTGCCTCTGCCTTAGATGACTAGGGTCCAGGCCCCAGGCACGGCCAGTGCTGCCTAGCCCATCCCCATTCTGAACTGTTTTAAGTGTCCTGTCTCTTCATTGGCTCCAGAAGGAAGCAGGGAAAGTTTTGAGGTTGTAAGAAAAAGGTCCCTCTGGCTTGGCAGCTGGGGACAGAGCTGCCATGGCTGGTACAGGAAGTTGCCCAGTACTAGTGGTGCTGGCCCAGCTGCCTTTTGGACTGGGAGACGTTTTTGGGAGTCTGGGTGCCCCTGCAGCCCTCCTGTTCTCCCCAGGTCCAGTGTGATTTGGAGTGGGCTGGCTTTGTTCCCTCCCCGTGCAAACTGCCTAGTGTATGTGCCCCTGATTAAAGTCATCTTTGAGGCTGTTTTTTCCTGGTGCCTGGTGTGACTGGAGGGTGGTTTGAAAGTCTAGAGATACCACCATGATCAGTTAGCATGGTGACTTTCAAATGAACTCTTCAGAGCCCTGGAGTCCATAGCAGGATACCTTGGGGGTGATTATTCTGGGGACAGTGGCAAGTGAGCACCTAGGATTTGACCCACATCAACCACAGCAGCTCCATGTCTGTCTGACTCCCAGATCGACAGTCCGAGGAAGATTCTCTTTGAAAACAGGGTTGTACTGTTTGAGAAAGAAAGAAAGAAAGAAACTGCTGATTTAGCTGAGTCCTTTCATTTTTGAGGTAGGGAAACCAAGGCCCAGAGGGGGCTGACCCACAAAGCCGGGCTGGGCAGAATGTCCGTCTGCCGCCCAGAGTCCGACCTGATGTCCATACCATCTGCTGTAGTCGGGGCTTAGCAAAGTCCCTTCTACCTTTCTGTGTGTCTATTTTAAGCAATTTTTAAAAAGCTGCTTTCTGGGATGGGAGGGACTTTTGTCACAGCTATTTCTGACTATGAGCCGGAAGGGGCTGGGCTGTCAGCCGGAATGGAGGTCTCCAAAAAGGGATGGTGGGTGGGTCAGCTGCAGTGTCCCCTGCCTTTTCCTGTCACCCCAGGGAAGCCCTCAAGCATGAGGCTTCTGGCCCCTTA